TGAGAATTTGTGAACACGCGTACGATTCTGCGCAAACGAATTGCGAAAGAGACGAATTCTGTCCGTAAATCTTTGAACGCTTACATCTTTTCAACAAAGCATCTCCGGGCACGAGTTTATCCGAACTTTCTTCATCTTTGTTTGACCTCGGTGAAACAAGTTTGGTCTCAACCTTCTGTGGGCAGGATGTTTCGTTGTACAGCGAAACATGTCGGAATGGATTGAAGCTGCGAAAAAAATGTTTATGCAAAAGCTGTTCAAGGTCAACTAACGCAAACTTCATCGTTCTTAATTTAGGGGCTAGAATTAGAAGAAACGGTGCAACATTGCGAGTCGTTGGATTGAAACCAGCCGTCGTGACACAAATATAAGAAAACGTACGGTCTGATTTAAAAAAAAGAAGAAATCAAGTTGACCTTGAAATGTCCTCCGCCATTAATAATACGAATGAAAAAATTGTCACCTTTCTATACTTTTCTACAAACATTTTTCTCGTAGCTTCAACACGTAGCTTCTGAGATATTTATTTCACTGTACTCGATTAGACGAAACACCCTGTACGTATACACGTACGAAAGACATGTGTGTTACGTTCTCTCACGTGTGTGTATAGTCTGTACAATATCTATATATATATATATATATATACACACGTATGTATGTACAGTATATTTTACTACGTCTCTTTAAGCGCAACTCTCCCTAATCTCTCGCGAATCTGCTCTGCGAGAAAGGGATATGCAACGAATGGCCACGATCAAACGTCGTCAAAGGCGTTCGATACGTCGACGTGTTACCAAAAATAAATCTTTTTCGCAAAAAAATATTCTCTCTCTCATCTCTCTTTTTCATCTCGCCGAGACCGTCAATTGGAAAGAGCGTCGAGGCTGAATCGAGAAACGCGTCCAATCTCGCGAATCGTCCCCTCCTCGCCAACCGATCGTCGACGCGTCGTCGCCCCGTGCCTCGGCGTTCCGAACAACATCACCGTCACCGATTGCTTGCGGCCGTGCGCGACCGCCAGGCCCCTCCGTACCAGCAGCTCGTCCAGCATCCGGATCCCTTCGTAGAGACTCTCCAGATCGCAGCTCGTCGAGTATCGTCGGCAGCCGCCGACGTTGTTGCCGCGCGACGAACCGACCGAGGCCGGGTCGGAGGAGGCGTGCATGCCCCTCTGGCTCCCTCTCAACTCGCCGACTCTGCTCAGCCTCTCGTAACTGTTGATCAACCCGCCGATCGTCGACGATCGGCCGAGGTATCCATCGCGCGGATGTATCGGCATCTTCTTTCTCGCCGATCTTCCAAACGTGCCGCCGCACGCTGCCGGCGAACCGGCGTTCCTCTTCGTCTCTCGCTTCCCTCTCGCCCTGCTGCCGCCGAGTAACTTCACGATCGTGCTGCTTCTCGATTCGAACGATTCCAATTCCTCCTCGTCCTCCTCCTCCTCCTCTTCTTCGTCGTCGTCGTCCTCGTTTCGCCCTTGTTCCCAGTCCCTTCCAGCCTCTCTCGCCACGTCCTCCTCCATCGAGATGCAACGAAGGTTCGACCGAGGGGGCCACAGGCGACCGACCGATCGCTCTTTGAACGACGACGAACGGCGCACGGTGGCGCAGCCGCAGGCACCCTCGCACGAACAACCGTCGTCCGACTGAACCTTGGCCGAGCGTGCCTTATCCTCGACGGCGAGATCGCTGTCCGCGACCACCTCGGCCAGCTGTCCCTCCTTTGACACCTCTCCGACTCGTCCCACCGTGACCGAGTCGCCGATCGTTTCTACCGCGTCTCCATCTTCCTCGCCGCGACGAGGCGATGGCTGCTCCGTGCTGGTCGAAGCAGCGGGCGAGCACCTCCGCTGCGAATCACACGAGGCATCGGCCGTTCGGCTCGAAGTGTTCGAAGCGCTGCGAATCCGCGGATACGCACCGAGTAACTCGGCGTCGATCGACGTCCGACGCTCGACGCTCTTCGGCGAGGACGAGCCCGGGGAATCGTCGTTTCCGGACAGTGACGACGACGAGTGTCGTTCGTCGTCGGTTCGACGAAACCAGCCCCGTCGAACCGTTTCCTCTTCCTCCTCCTCCTCCTCCTCCTCTTCGTTTTCGTTCTCTTTCTTCTCTTTGTCCTCCTCCTGCTCCTCCTCCTGCTCCTCCTCCTCCTCCTGCTTGTCGTCTTGCACGCCTGACGAAACGTTCTCGTGTACAAACTCTCGTGAAAACTCACGCACGGGTGCAAAAACTATAAGTAAAGATACTCACGCTCGTTCGAATCGACCGACGCTAGTCCGGACACGCTGAAATGACGCGAGATCGATCCTGGCGGAGTGACGTACGGTGGCGGCGGGCTCTCTGGCACTCGAGTCGCCGCGCGACTCTTCGAGAGGGCCGCGTCCTGGCTGCACGCTGCGGCGCGGCCCGTTCCGCGGCTGCTGCCTGCCGACTCGCCCACCGAACGACCAACGTCCAACCTATCCAACGTTCGAACCACTATGGTTACCACCTCGTACGATTCGAAAGGTAAAGTGTACACAGTAAGGTGTATGATTACATACTTCTTTTTGATACTTACGTTATACACTGTTGTGTAATTTAAATATTTTATAACAATTATATTATACAATGTTATATATAATTAAATTTGTATTATATAATCTAATTGTTATATATAAATATAAATATTGTATAACGATTTAAATATTATATATAAATATTATTACACATTTATATTTGCATTTATATATAACAATTACATTATATAATATAATTATATAATGGAATTATTATATATAAATATAAATATCATATAACATAATTGTTATACAATAATTTAAATATTATATATAAATATTATTACATATAAATGCAAATATTATATAATATTTATATTCATACATAATAATTACATTATATAATTGTTATAAAATTTAATTATGTAATGTAATTATTATATATAAATATAAATATAAGTATCATATAATATAATTGTTATACAATAATTTAAATATTATTACATATAAATATAAATGTTATATAATAATGTAAATTATTATATACAAATATTATTACACATTTATATTTGGATTTATATATAATAATTACATTATATAATACAATTATATAATTATTATAAAATTTAAATATATAATGGAATTATTATATATAAATATAAATGTCATGTAACATAATTGTTATATAATAATTTAAATATTATATATAAATATTATTACATATAAATATAAATGTTATATAATAATTTAAATTATTATATACAAATATTATTACACATTTATATTTGTAAAATTTATATAATAATTACATTATATAATATAATTATATAATTATTATAAAATTTAATTATATAATGGAATTATAATATATAAATATAAATATCATATAACATAATTGTTATACAATAATTTAAATATTATATATAAATATTATTACATATAAATGCAAATATTATATAATATTTATATTCATACATAATAATTACATTATATAATTGTTATAAAATTTAATTATGTAATGTAATTATTATATATAAATATAAATATAAGTATCATATAATATAATTGTTATACAATAATTTAAATATTATATACATCATTGCATATAAATATAAATATTATATAACATTTATATTTATACTTATATAATAATAACATTATATAACATAATTATATAATTATATAATGTAATTATTATATATAAATATAAATATAAATATCATAAAATATAATTGTTATACAATAATTTAAATATTATATATAAATATTATTACACATAAATATAAATGTTATATAATAATTTAAATTATTGAACTCTTCTTTTCATATTGGTTTTTTATTTTCCCTTAAAATGTTATGGACAATCGCACGGTCACAAATCCTTTTTGCACCTCCATGATAGCGATGCCAGTGGTCACCGCCACAGTGAGTAGGATCACAGAGACTCTCAAATAGAACTCTCAAGGTTTCGAGAGAGTTCTAAGAGGATGGTAAGTGAAAATTCTCAAAGCTGCTGTGGACGCTTTACTCACGAGCAGCTTTGACTGGGAGAGCTTCGACCGCGCGGCTCCCGACCAAACGCGGCTCTCCTCTTCTTCCGACCGATCGTCGAATCCGAGTCGAATCCGAGCTTCACCACCTCGTCGTAGCCGGGCGGTGCCTCGTACACCGGCGGGTCGTCAGCCACAGCGATCTCGTCGATACGCGCGCCGTCTGCAATATCGAAAACTGGTGTCGAAAGTCGACAATATCGACACCACGCTCCTCAAACTTTTTAACTTCGGCCAACTTCTTTTTTACCTAGAAGCTCGCTGATCGTCTGCAGCCGCGACTGCAGCTCCCTCTGCTGTCTGGCCCTGGCGCCCATTCTGTACAGCAAGATGATCAGCGCGGATATCAGCACGATCAGGCCCAGGCTGCTCGCCACAAACACCAGTGTGGCCGTCTTCAAGTCCGGGTAACGATCGATCTTTGGAAAGTAGTAGTTTGCCTTGTTCGCGTGCCACTTTCGATCCTGAGGCTCCAGCTCCCAATCTACGAGTTGCACGCGGCTGTTTGACGATTTCGGGAGTTTGAGAAACGAAAGAGACTGCGAACGTACCTCGAAAGCAGGTGGCCGGCTCGTCGCTGTTGTCGCCGCAGTGATCGAAACCGTCGCAATTCAGTTGACTCGGTATGCATCTGTGGTTGCGGCAGAGAAAGTCCGAGCCAGCGAAACAGTCTTTCGAGGCAACGAAAACGAAAAAGGAACGAAATTAAAAATTTTTCAAAGAGAGGAACAACAAAAAATGGAATTTATCATTCGGTTACAATTTAACTGAAATCTTACAGCAAGTGCATCTACTGTGTATTACTACTCGTCATCGCCTAGAAACAATTGAGCACTTTAATATAAATATATTTTTCTAATAAAACAAGTGACACGGGATAACTGTTGAACTGAAAGAGAAAAAACTACGCGCGGCGGTCAAATTTTTGTTGGTCAATAAAGATTTAATCACGTTGTACAATCCCATTGAATACGCGAATACTCGTCGTATCTTTCACTGTATCAACAAATGTACTTCTTCACTACAGAGAGGCAATTTCAACAGATACGGTGGCAAACGAAATTGCACCCATTAAATGGCTCACCCATGTAACTAAAGGCCGCGTACGCGATGGCCAGCTGCGACGGCGGACCAAACGTTCCCCGCAGGCTCACGTGAAAGCCGCTGGTGACTGGTGCCACGTGCTCCCTGTGCCTCGGTGGTTGCACTTGGCTCGCCGGATGTCTCAGGATCTCGAGGGGCAACAGCGCCGACGTGGGCCCCTGTTTCACCACCAGCTCGGTGTTGCCAGCTGCGCGAAAAAACATCACAGGAGCAACACAGAGACAGAGACAGAGAGAGAGAGAGAGAAAGCAAGGAAACAAAGAGGAAACAATCACTCACCCATGTCCGCGAACGCAATCACCTTTAGATACATGTGCGTCTTCATGTGCAAAAAGTTCTTCGGCGGTCTGATCAGCCAAACGCAGTCGTACGTTTTCACCCCCTCGCCCACCATGTCCATCATGGTAATGGTGCCGCCGAGATTCTCCACGTAGCCGCCGCAGTCGGTTATCGGTTGCACCGACTTGTCCAACGGGTGTCCGATCACGAACGAGTAGAAGGCCTTGTAGCCCAAACCGGTGCCCCCGTTCGCGTAGAATCGCAACAGCAACGACGGTCCGGTGCTCATGATCACCGGCGGGCGAAACCTCGCGCCGCTGCTCACGTCCAGTCGTTGGCCGTTCCAATCGTAAAACTGTTTTCAAAACGTGTTATACGTCAGAACAGCGACGGAACAGCGTTCCACGCAAGGGTCCAGCGCCTCGTTACCTCCATTATCGACACGGTCGCCAGCTGAAAGTCGCTAAACAGCAACCTGATGCGGCAGGAGGGTGCCTCGCTCGGGCAGCTGACCACGTATTCCATGCCAAGGTCGCGGGGATACCGAGCAGGGAAGAACGGGGACGTTAGAATCCCACCGCCCGTGTTGTTCAGTCCGCTGTTGGCCGCCTGACCGCTCGTCGTCGTCGTCGTCGTCAATTCCGTGCCCCTCAGGTGCAACCTGTTCCCTGTGCAGCAAACAGATCCATCGAAAACGCGTCCCTCCGATTTCTTCTTCTTTTTTTTTTTTTTTTTTTGTTTTTCATCGTCCACTACTTCTCCGCTCTCGCTTACTCTCTGCCGTGTACTCGAGCGTGAACGCGTGCTTGTGCGACTGGCTGTAGAGCAGGGTGATGGACAAGGTTCTCGTGCTAGATCTGTACGTGATCGGTGCGTACAAGCCGCAGAACGGTGTTCCCGACACGTCCTCGTACGGCGGCTCCGAGATCCAAACGTAGTCGCACCTAAACAAACGTGAAACCAATCGGTGTATGTAGGAAAATGATATTCGCGCGCGCGCGCGTTACCTGCAGGGGCTGTCCATCGTGACGCTTCCGTCGCCGCAATGGTGCGGCAACGCGATATTCCCAAACGTGGCGATAATCACGCACGACGGGCACGTCACCAACTCGAGGCTGCACTGGGCGTGCGAGCTGTTGCTCGTGTATACGCGCGAGCCCTCTTGCCTGGCCTCGTTCTTCGCGAACGAGACGTTCTTCGCGTACAGTATGCCCTTCTCGCCCAGCTCCAGATACAGCCGCCGTCCGTTTTGAACGCCGCAGATATCCTCGTTTCGTACCACGTTTCCCTCGCCTGCCGCCGCCGCCGCCATCCACCACCACAACCCCATCCCTACAATCGCTTTTACCGCCAACATTGCTCTTACCGCTTCACCTTTCCCATCAGCTTCTTACGCTTTCACGATATCTCTCGATCTATCGAAAAAAATCTTGTATACGTCTTGCGTCGCGAGCGAAGCAAACCTTCTGTTCGTTCGAGAAACAGCCATCGCGATTACGCGCGTAATTTCATTAGTTTGCAACGCTGTTACGTACCTCCTTATTACGGTATAAAGCATTTTTATGGTATCCTTTGCACGGCTCTCCCCCGCGCCTGTCTCGTTCTTCTCCTTTTCCCTCTTCTCACACCTTTCCTTTCTTCCACTTTTCTGCGTCGCTTCGAAACCGAATTTCCTACACAACGAACTTCCTGCAACCTTCCTATCATCTTTCTTCGTCGTTCGAACAGAGTAGCTCTTGTAGCTTACGCAGCGGAGACGGAGACTGCCTGCCTCCGACGTTTCCTCTCGCGTCTCCAACTGTCGATCTGAGAATTTCGGACCTCGTGATCTCGTTTATCACGCAATGCGAGCCTAAACGCTCCGCCTGGACTCGCAGACCGACGAGATTTCCTTTTCGCAAATCGCAAACGCTTCCCTCCAATCCGCCATCGCGGATTCTTCGTAAAGCGCGCGCCTTTTGAATGTTAGTTGCACGAACGGACGTTGGACGTCGTTGGGCAAGACTTGCGTTATCGCTTGCTATCAAAACAAAACAGAGGTATGAAAGAGGACGAGTTGTTGTCCGAACCGCAAGAGTACTCGGATAATATGTCAAGTATGGATCTCGCCATTAATTTGGAAAGACAGAGATTCCCATTTTGTATAGTTTGGACGCCTCTGCCGATTCTGACGTGAGTAGAAGTTGGAAAACATAACCTCAACCGAAACCCACTGCTAAATCGTTCGAT